GGAGATCGCAGACGAGAACCACAACCACCACAACGAGCGCATGCTCTTTCACGGTACTGTCACCAGATGAATGACCTGTCAGAAGTGCTATTTGGGAAAGTTCAAGCTACAAAAGAAGCTTTTTTTCTCCATGACGGACTCAAAAGCTTCTTTTAAAGAATGTAATTCCAATTTTCCGCTTTTTACATGATCGGTTTCCTTTTTCTCCTCATCTCCAGGGTCACCGTTCATCAACGCCATCATTCATAAAGGGTTTGATGAGAGGCACGCTTACATAGGGGGGATGTTTGGAGCAGGGATCTACTTTGCAGAGAACTCCTCTAAAAGCAACCAGTATGTGTACGGCATCGGCGGAGGGACAGGCTGCCCCACCCACAAAGACCGCTCCTGTTACATCTGTCACAGGTACATACCATAGACTGTATAAAAACTATGGACGTAGTGTCCGTGACGTCACCCGTAGGTTTCTGAAGAGCGTTTTTGAAGCTCAAAGTTGGCGGAGCCGGCCGTCGCCATCTTGGCAGTGCGTGACCGCGCGTCATTCCTGGATAATCGAAAATGGGCAAAGAGGCGGGGGCTGGTTGCTGAAACCACGGCCACCTAGCTCGACGGTGGTGACAGCAGCGGCAATCCACCTGCCACTCAAGTGGCCACGCCCTTAATTATGCAGAACTTTAAGGCTTAATATAATTTAAACGGATGAGTATAAATTCACCCCCTCACATAATTAGCTATACAGACCAAAACCACTTTTTGTACCAGGCTGTAAGCATATTTTTCCGGCTGAAAAGTTGGGCATTTTAACATGGAGAGTCTATGGGACTGACAGTCGATGAATTGCAGTTTTAGTCACTTCCATGTTGGTTTCACAAGAGAGACCGGAAGGTTGCCGCTTGGTACATACACATCTGATTCTTCCCCTTTGCTCTGATATGAATGAAATACAGGCGCAGTGACTGTACACGACCAGCTGATGGTGCTGTGGATCCTAGAATCCACTGCTTCTCAATCTAGTTTAGCTTCAGGTCCCAGATAAAATATTGGACATCAAGTGTTGACCCAGTACAAAATTGTTTATTGTACTAAAGTATAAACCAAATCAAACACTGAAATGCATTCATATTAATTACACTTACTAATATTCAATAAAATGGTTAAATATTATTGCATGAATTATTAAAAGTAATTTATCCAGAACTGTCCATGGATGTAAGTTAATTCTGTGTAATAATTTATTTATACATATAAGCTTTGATATTTTTTTTAAACTCAAAATTTCCAAAATTGTAAAATTCCAACATGTTTTACTACTTTGATTGTGTTAAATAAAATTAAGTTGTGGTATTAAATGTATAATAATAATAATTATGATTGTTGTTGTTGTTGTTGTAAATTATACATGTGATTTATAAATATAAATTATATAAATGTAATACAATTATAAATCTAAATTCATTTTGTATTTTATGTCAAATGATTTCGATTTATATCATTTTAAATTAAGTTGTGGTATTACATTTAATTGAATGTCATTTAATATCACAACTTAATTTAAAATTACATAAATCTATATCATTTTACATAAAATACAAAACTCATTAGAAATCATATAATTTTATTGTGCTTTTAATTTATATTTATAATCACATGTGTAATTTATAAGAACAATAATGATGATAAAAATAATAACAATAGTAATAATTTATATATATATATAATGTATTTATTATGTATTGAAATTATATAATAAAATAAATTGTATTATATAGATATGTGTGTGTGTGTGTGTGTGTGTAAATATTTATTTATTATTATTATTATTTATTTCAAATATAATCAAACTGTTCACAGGCAGATGCTGTTTTGCCGGGTGACTCTGGGTAAATCCTTCTTGCAGTTCAGTGCCATGAAGATGGCCCACGCTCCTCCAGGGCACCATTCCGTCATTGGCCGACCCAGTGTCAACGGGTTAGCCTATGCAGAATACGTCATCTACCGAGGGGAACAGGTGAGAGAGCTCAACAACTGCAAAATCAGAAACACTTTTTTTCAGGTAGTAGATATTCGGTTCATTTACAACTCTTTGTGTTTTACAGGCCTTCCCAGAGTACCTCATCACATACCAGATCATCAAGCCAGACAGCACACCTCCATCCCCGGCAGCAGCGGAGCAGAAGTCCTAGTCCACGCGAAACGCTCAGACTGTTACCCAAACATCTCTCACACATCCACAGACGCCTCCTCACATGATAGAAACATCCACTCGCCCATAAACCTCAGCGCTGCCTCTTTAATTTGCAGTTAGGCTCCATTTCTGTCCCCTTGAGTGTTTACAAGAAAGAGTTGCCTTGGCTGGCCGTGTCCTTGCCCTCCTCTTCAGGTCAAGGGTCAGGATATCAGCCATAATGCTGTTTCAGGGTTAAACGAAAGGACTCCGTGAAAGACAACAAGTGACCTCTTCCCCGTCATTCTACTCAATTTAACACTGTTCAAGCATTAACTTCCTCTCTTTGAAACGGTTCTACTATTACTGTGACTAATTACCTTTCTGTTTTATTTCCATCAATATAATTCACAATAATGGACCACGTCTTAAAGGGACCTGACATTTCAGCAATCCTCCTTTCCATTATTGAAGTTCACTGAAGACCCTAAAAAATCTCATTGTTGTGGTTTTATTTTGTCTTTATGCATTGTTATTAAAAACAAAGCCTTAGAGGGGGTTTAAAGCGAAAAGAATGTTGATGCAGAGACCAGAACTATTCAAAAGGCCTTTGACCACAAAATATCAAAAATGTTTTTTTGTTTTTCTTCTTCATATCTTTGCACAGGAATTCTGGTCAGAATGTTCAATTCCAGCCCAATCTGAAAATGCATCTTTTAAAGAATTTGCACTTTTAGGCAGGACTTAAGTTATTCAGAATAATTCTAAAAAGACGTAGGTTAAAACAAATTCCACTAATGTACAGGTTGTGTAAAGGACAATGCCTTTGTATAGCTTTTAATGTTGTTTACCGATGCAGAGTGGGTTTTATTAGTACTGTAAAGGAAGTGGGAATTCTTGCTTTCAGATCTTTCCTTATATTTTCGGACGACCAAGCGACTCGGCTTTGGAAGTCGCTCTTTTTTGCTTTCGGTATGTTTTGGATCACAACCACAGGAATTCCTCAGTCTTGTTCATTCCAGCCCTGTTTCTCTGGCCTCAGAGAAACGCCTCTTTTACGAGGCTCTCCGTAACGGTTTTCCTGTTACACACTACTGATATGAGCGGCTCGGCTGACTCGCGTCCATGTTACAGAATGAAATGAAGGACGTGGCTCTACCTCTGGAAGTCTCATGGTTTGGTTGCTTTGCTCAGGTGTAGTTTGTGGTTCTGTACATGTGTACTGGAGGTCATCTGCCTTCCTCCAGGAATCTGTGTGTTCAAACCAGAGAGAACGAGAGCAGACCTTTCTTCTCCTCTTAGTAGTATGAGCACAGACATATCCACGGCTCCCCTCAAGCCAATACGTGGGAGACAACTCCTGAACTGTTTCTCAATTCTTTGAGCTGTAATTTTACTTTATTTCCATGTTCCCGTGAACTTTAATCAGCAACGGCTTATCTACCAGAAGCCATCTGCGGACTAATCAAACACTCCTTAATCATGTAAAATGGTCTTAATAAAGTATGTCATAAATACTGTCTTGTGTCTTTTCTCACACTTGCTCTGAACCCGTATTCAATTTCACTTCTCAGGAATGAGATTTTTCCATATCTATTCCATTCTATAAAATAGTGATAATTATGATGTAGTGTAATATAATAGTAGTATAACCGGTAATAATATTTTAAATTCTTGTTTTTTTATTTTACAGTAAATTAGCATTGTTGTTGTTATAGATGGTGGATGGATGGATGGATAGATATTTGATGGTTTATTTTTTCATGAACGTGGTCATATTTATTAGGTGAAAAAACGTGTTCCTTATTTTTTTTATCCTTATTTTTTTTTAGCTCACATGTCTGGTTCCTTTTTTAGTTTCTTTGTTAGTTTAACCCTCAGAGACCGTTTTTCGTTCATGATGGTTTCTTTTATTTTTTATTTTTTTCGTGTGTGTGTGTGTTCTAGAAAGACATTGGTGATAAAATAGTTAAGCTTACTTTAAGTCTGCTGGACTTTAAATGTAAAAATACATCGGCGTTACAACATATAGAGACCTGCAGTGCATTTCGATTAATGGAAAGTTATGAAAAACCGGGAGATCAGGTAAAAAATGAATTTAAATACAAACCCTGTTCAGTCCTAGAAAGCCAAAGCGGTGTTCTAAGAAACGCTTATTCCTTTAAATTCATATTAGGTATACATTAAACAAAGGCTTCACGGCTGTTTAGTAAATGTGTAACAAAAATGTATGTTAGCCCAAATAGTCAACAATGGTCCATATGTGCCTTGCTGCTTCTGATACATTTCAGCTTCTCTTTCTATGTCAGGTTCGAATTTTAACACATTTAATGAACATATGTGTGTATTAATTACTTTAACCGTATTGCAGTTTTGCTACAGCGTGTCACCGAGGGTCAGGTGGGATATGATCAAGGAAGCCGCTGTCATTTCGGCGAACTTCTCGGGAAATGAGTGGGAAGGATGGTTTCCGTGGGTCAGAATTGACGGTGATGTGAAATCCACTATCAGAACACACGCTAGGAGGCGCTGTGGCTCTTCAAAACTAACCTCCATTCACTCTATTCATAAGCCTTCCCTCATTTATCAGATATAATACTAATTCTCTTCTCCTGCATAATAGCGCGCGCTATTCTTTTCTATCTTTTCTTAGTTCATGTAAGAAATAATGAGATGGCTCATCTTCTATTCATTTGACAAAATGATTGCAATATTACTTACAGGCCTATACAGCGAAATATGATTCATCATCCGTAGCTTTTCTTCGTCTATACAATTAAATCACGCCACACTTTCATTAAAGAACACAGTTTATATTTAATAATGACAACCGTGAGATAAATAAAATGTACATCCTAATACAACAGAACAGGGTAGAGTTAAAAAAATCGTAACCCTCTGAATGATATTGCCATTAGCTGTCAGACAATAACATTTTCACAAGTAGGCTACAGTAAAAAGTATTGCATTCATCTCATCAGTGATTGACAGACAAACAGACACGTAATATGGCAAAAAAAAGAGTGGGGAAACACCTCTCGGTTACCATTTCAATTCCGACCAGGTGCAAAACGAACCTCGAATCAATTTTGCATCACTTAAAAGTGCTATAAAAGATCCCACGATCTCATAGAAAAGAAGTAGGTTCCCACACATAAACATACCAGCTGCTATGGACTCTTCAAGGCATGTTTCCCTCATAGAGCTTCTCAAAGGGGAATATTAAAACCAAATTGACTCATAGGAAAGTGGCTTCCCAATCGTCCCATTCCCAACTTCCAGTGTAAAAAGGTTCAGTGTATAACCTGGGATTATCTTGACTTACGCTATTCCTTAAATAGTCTATTAACGAGAACATTCCGTGCGGAAGTCATTGTTGGTAAGGCATACAGCAGAAACAATTCAGAAGATCTCCTCAGTACAAACTAGCAAAGAAAACCAAATCATGTTCACACAATATAACAAAGGAAAACAGACAATACAGTGCTTTGGTGGCGACTGGGAGGAAGGAGAATCGGGTTATTGCTCTGATCTGTGAGAGGAACGGATAGGTATTGCAGATTGAAATGCTTCGAATGTCTCGTTTGCGATCGGTCGGAAGGAACGGCGACGAGAGCATCTTGTGAAAGTGTCTGTGTACCTTCTCTGTACAAGGCACTGACAAATGCAAATGAAAGACACTTCCTGCCAAAGGTCATGCTATTAAAGGAATTGAGGAAGGCCGGCGAGAGGAAGTGATGAATGGGAAGTCAAACGCAGTGTGAAGAACCTCTCAGGGTCCAACGACCTCCTGCACTTCATTCCCACCAGCCCCACCGGCCAATCGTGAAGTCTTTGGAAGTGAACCACAGGAAATGAAGGAGATGAACCATCCCCACAGGATATTACAACTTATTCTTCTGATATTAATGCATGGTGAAGACCGCGGGGGGACTTAGATGAGGACGGGTCACCAGCGAAGCTGAAGCTGCAGCTCAGCTGGAACGACCACATGATTGTGCCAACTGAAGAACGTCAGAGAAATTCACCCTTTTTGCAGTTTTTTTAGAGTCTCGTGTTGTATCAGCAGCTTGGCGAGGTTGTGATGGGAGTCTGTAGGTAGGTGAGGCTGCTGGACTGGCTGTGCGTCACTACTGACACGGGGAAGCTGAAGATGAAGGGTGACGTGGGGTTGGAGGAAGACTTGGGGCCGAGAGTGGCGGAAGGGCTGGCGGCCTCTACAGAACAGGAAGTGGCCAGCACCTGAGACTCGAACTGCAGCAGCTGACCCATGAAGCTGAAGTTGGGGGAGATGATACTGCGCCGCTGTTTGACAAACTCGAAGGCTTCATCCAGACGCACCCGCTTCTTCTTCATCAGGTACGCCAGGCAGATAGTGGCTGACCGTGAGATGCCAGCCTGACAATGCACCAGAACACGGCCGTTGGAATCCTTGATGGAGTCTGAGGAAAGAGCAGAGAGTTTAGTTAAGACGCACAGATGAAGTTCAGACATGACTCATCTTACTGCATTTACTGTGAAGCTGACGCCCGCAACATTTTGATGCAGGTTCAGAAGTCATAGGAACATTTATAAATAATAAATAATACAATTATTAATTATAATATATTAAAATATATAGAATTAATAATTATTAACTATTTTTATTATTTAATAAAAAATATAATTGTATATATATATATATATAGTTATATTATGTATTATAAAAAATTATGTTCATCATTATTAATTATGAATTAATAATAATAATAAAACATAATATATTATTATTACACTTTAATATATATTTAATAATAGCAATTATTATTTATAATCTTCAACTACACACCGTCTTATGAAATTGATTTCAAGACTCATATTCTTCATTTTGATACGAACATCAGCAAAAATTAGGCATTGAGTAACAGCTCTGAGAAATTCATGTAGTTCATTCAGTGAACAATTTGTCTGACTGAATCAAACGGTTACCTGACTTCACAAATCTTTTAGAACTATTAATTTAAAGAACCGACTCAGATAAATCATTTTTTCGTGACTAACTGTGCTGGTCGTGGCATAAGGTTATGTTCTGTTTTGCACGCAGCCTGTGACAGGAACTCAGTTCAAAACATATTTCTTGCCATTATTTAATATCGCATCTCGTTCAATTTAGACTGCAAACTCTCAATCAACTCATGTTAAAAAAAATGTTTGAAAAACGTTTGCACTTGAGATTTAGCAGAGTCTCCTCTGAAAATGGTGCAGGAAACATGACAGGATATAGCAAAACAGAGAAAACTAGACTCGATGAAAGGTGACCAAATTACTATGAAACTATTAATTTACAGAGAAAATACTTAAGAGTTCACATTTTCTATTGACAGTGTATGGCCTGAATTAATTATCTCCCGAGCCTATCGAATCAAACAAGAGGCCGTCTGATTTACATGTAAAACAACCAATCACAGTTCAATAGTCATTTTTGAAAAGATACAAATTAAATGTATGAACAAACAAATCTAAAATAAAACTTAATACAAAAAGTAATTATAATTTTATATAATAATATCCCTGTTGCTAGTTTAACAGTTTGCTATATAAAATGAGCTGTGATTTGTAGGAATTATATCCACTCAAAACATCCAATAATAAGGACAATGCATTTCTAGAAATACACACAGAACTGAGAATTACACATTCACCCAAAGCTGATAGTCACAGTTGGACAACAAACACTCAACACCCAGACAAAATGGTCTGGGGTGGATTTCACACCGTTGAGCACACAGACACCTCCTGCCATTGCTAACAAGCTGCTAATTAACAAAAAACTGACATGTACATGGTACAAAGGGAAAGTAAGCACGTATATCCAAACATAAGTCAGATTACTTTTTCCTCTTCACTTTACTGTCTGCATATATGCCTTTGCACAGCCATACACACCCAGATCTGAGGTAACTCCAGTATCAAGGCACCCCTGAATGGAGGATGAGTCAGACTCTGGTCCCTAAGCTCTGCACTCTGACGCATGCATACAAGCACATGCACACACACACACACACACACCTAGGATGGTGCGATCAAATGCGGCAAGCCTACTTGGGGGCCTTGCTTTAGTGCAGAGGATGCTGAGTTGAAATTGGATATACAGGATCCCCCCCCCCCCACTCCACTCAGTCACGGAAACCCTTTTATGAGGAAGACCCACCCATACCGCAGCATTCAACCCGTATTTTGCACCTATGGCACACAGACTTCAAATTTCATCATCGTATTTATACAAAGAACTCTACACATCAATACGCATTCAAACATATTCTTCAAGCTACATGCATAAGTGACCAAGATGAGCTATTGAAATGGATGCAAGACTAAAAAGGAGGGTGCATTTGTTGTAAAAGCTCTGCAATGCAGATCAACGTTTTAATTGCTGATGAATTGCACGTCATTTGCAGTTGAAAGGAGCCATAACAACCAAGAGTAATTTACACCTCGACGGTTACACCTACCCTAACCATCCAAAAGTCTAGATGTATTTGATATAATAATATAATATAATAATGAACATACCTATAAATTCAATGGCTTCGGTGAACCAAGAGCTGATGTCCTCCTTATGGTTGTCTTCCACCGGGATACACTTATACTGGTAATCCCCTTCAAAATGATTCGGACAATTTGAAGATACATTCAATAGAGCAGAAATGCCCATACGATCTAGCATGTCCTTTTTAGACGCATGGAGAGCACTGCCAAGAAATAAAAAGGGGAGGATTTCCACAGGGCCACCCTGTAATAAAAAAGTGACAAAAAATAAATCATTAATAATTGATATTAAATACATGTTAAAAAAATATTTTTGGTAACACTTTATTTTAAGGTGTCCACATGTTACATGTACTTACTATTATAATACCAATAATTATGCATAATTACATGCAAGTAACCCTAAAACTAAACCCCAATCCTAACCCTAACCCTAGTAAGTGCATGTAGTTAATTAATATTACTTAGTACTTAATTACACTGTAACAATGACACCTTAAAATAAAGTGTAACCAAAATAATAATAATAAATGTATTTATAATTTAAAAGATAAATGATTTTATTAATTTGTCCGTATAATCATCACAGGCCCCTCTCAATAAATTATCAAAAGCATTTGCAACAGATTACAGCATCAGCCCACTTACACCTCTGTTTGCTATAAAAAGGTCAAGCTAATAACATCCAGTTTATTTATTCTGGAAATGCGTATCGATTTGGCCCACTGTTATGTCATTGGTTGCCTGCTTAACAAGCTGTAGAGACAGGAAACGATCGATGTGGGAATCAACACTAAAGCGTACTGGAGTGTCTGACACAGTACACCCCCTATCACAGAGGAAGGCCGGACGAACGCACTCTAAAGCACTGCTACATCAGCCGGAAAGAGCAGCGGATGACAGCAGTCAACAGGACGTTTAATGTTACACAACGCTGCCCATTAGCTGACCTCAAAGTATCCACTGCCGCTAATGTAGTTACCTGGTCATGCTGTGGAGTTCTGCAGGAGGTGCAGCTGCTCTCCACACTGGACTGAAGGCTGGATACTGCCAATGTTTTGGTTTTCAAACAGTAATCGGGATACCGTGTGGAAAATCTGTCGTAGCCTCCTAGAAAGTGAAACAATATTTGTAATACTTTTGCTCAAACTGTATCCAGCTTAAAGAAAGCTGGTTTTTTTAGAACCAGCAAGGCCACCTTAAACCGTCTAAGATGAGGAAACTGAATTTTATCTTCCCTTAATTTATACTTCAATGGAATTATTTTATTGAGGTCACAGAGGATGCATTCAGTAATTCCACTTAAAAGATGGGACCACCTGAACACAATTTTTACATTTCATTTTACATTTATATAACGCCGAAATTAGCCCCACTCTTTTCAGACAAGCCATACATTCGTGACATTTTGAATACATTTAACACAATGTAAAAGGCCTACTAAGTAATAAAATGCACGGACCTCTATAAAAGAAATGTGAAGCATTTTAACTAGTTGGTTTGTGTCTACAAAATAACAGATGAAAACTGTTTGCTCCAGATTTCTTCAGAACATGGGAGCTGGTTTCTAATTGGTCATACTAGCTCAAGGTGGTCAAGTTGGAACATGTTAACTGGTCAAGCAGCGAAAGACCAGCTTAGACCAGCGAGCGTGTTCCAAAAAACAGCTACTATCTTAAACTGGATTTTCTAGCAGAGAAAATGGCCATCTACATTACATCATTATCCCACTACTAGATTTGACCACAATGAAGACAGATATTTTCTCAAAACATGGCAGCTTTATGTCAGTTAAGAAATACAATAACACAATAGATTTGTGTGTAGTGTAGATTGGAATTTACCTTTTAGCAGGTAGATTTCTGTCCTAAACGTATCTCTACACAAAGCGTTATGTACCAGGGTGATTGTGCTGTCGTTCTTCAGAGTGTTTGTATCGGAGGTCCGCTCATCGTACAAGATCACGGCGGAGTACAGCCCTGATTTCAGACGGGCTCTCGCTTCATCATCACCGGACAGGATCTGGTCCAAACTCACGGAGCCTTTCGCTCGCCTCCGAACTATCGTGTTACAGCGGATATTTACAGCACCGCGGAGGTGACCGGCGCTGAACGCTAAAAACGACCTGCAGTCCAAAAGCAGACATTTCGCACTGTCGTCCAACAGATATTTTCTCAAAACATGGCAGCTTTATGTCAGTTAAGAAATACAATAACACAATAGATTTGTGTGTAGTGTAGATTGGAATGTACCTTTTAGCAGGTAGATTTCTGTCCTAAACGTATCTCTACACAAAGCGTTATGTACCAGGGTGATTGTGCTGTCGTTCTTCAGAGTGTTTGTATCGGAGGTCCGCTCATCGTACAAGATCACGGCGGAGTACAGCCCTGATTTCAGACGGGCTCTCGCTTCATCATCACCGGACAGGATCTGGTCCAAACTCACGGAGCCTTTCGCTCGCCTCCGAACTATCGTGTTACAGCGGATATTTACAGCACCGCGGAGGTGACCGGCGCTGAACGCTAAAAACGACCTGCAGTCCAAAAGCAGACATTTCGCACTGTCGTCCTTCATCAGCCTCTTCAAAACACTGCAATCCATTTCACAAAGCTCGTCCATTGTGACCATTTTCCTCCTCCGACGGGGACTGGTGACGGTCAAACGGTGCTTTAATAACAACAATACGTCAAATCCAGCGTTGCCAGAGCGCAGTGGAAAGTTGTGTCACCCTCCTGAGAGCTTTACTACCACGGGCGCTTCTCTTTCCGCTTTATGAATGGCTTCAGACGCGCGCTCCATAAAAGGATCGCGACGTCACAATGGAGATGACGTCTGCTTCGAGCTCCATTCATTCAGCGCTCTTCATTCATACACATAGAGTCCGCGACGCTCGATGGTGACCGCCTTCCTCGTCTACACCAGAACCCAGCCATCAGATATTTCTTCTGAGAAGCAGTTTGCTAAAATGACATTTAAATAATAATATCTAAGGTAAACAACATATGGATACACCTACGGCAAGGTGACGTTCAAATAGTGTACAGTTTTATTGGAATATAAAAACACAGGCTAGTTGCTGTAAGTCACTGTAATATATATAATATAGTATAACTATAACTACTATGATTTTATATATATATATATATATACACATACACACCGGAATATTTTATTACATTTAACAAAGCACTACACTATGGAGGACGAAACCTGCAAAAACAATAAATAAATAAATACACACATGCCTGTATAAATACACAAATTCTTGTTTAAATACATATAGAAATAATTAAACATGTGATTAAAGTAGATCAAATAAAATAAATCGGTGGACAAATGGAAAATGTTTAAGGAAATGCTAAACTCATCCTATTTATTTTCCTTTGATCGCTCGTTTATTTCTGAATGTAGTTCCACATTTATTTTTCCTCTGCGCAACATGCTAATGAGAGGGTGTCAACCATGGACTTGGTCGGGGTCATGTGCCAGTATGGCCTACGTAAAGTCACTTTTTCTGTTTAACAGAGCAAGATACATAAAAAACTGAGCTGTGGTGTCCGTACAGTATCTGTGACTTTACAAACGACCCAAAGAAATGGCCAGTGTCGTTTCCTGACGTCATTTTTTGTAACCCGAATGAGTCTCCAGCTAGAGACAACTGTAATATCAGTATCCCATGGTCATCGTGAGATGACTGGTATGAAGTGGTTTAATCGAGGAACAGACAGTTTTTTCCCATTAGTTATCAGAACATAAAATACAGGCGACAAACGTATGTTTATTAAGCAAATAACGGTTCAGTATTGCAATTAAGAGCTATGTAAGCATTAATATTTTACATTGGCCACTTAAAATCTTTTATGATTTAGCTCTCTCATGATTATAACTACAACACTAACCCTATGAAAAAGTATAAGATAATAATCAGTCACCTTGACTGATGAAGTTAATCCGTCACACACGATCCGCCTACTCTTGCATAACTGACACCCTCTCATTAGCATGTTGCGCAGAGGAAAAAAAATGTGGAACTACATTCAGAAATAAACGAGCGATCAAAGGAAAATAGTTAGGATGAGTTCAGCATTTCCTTAAACATTTTCCATTTGCCCACCAATTTATATTATTTATTTGCCTACTTTCCTCACATATATAATTATTTATTTATGTATTTAAACAAGAATACGTGCATTTATGCACACATTTATTTATTTATTTGTGTATTTATTTATTGTTTTTGCAGGTTTCGTCCTCCATACTACACAAACAAACAACCAAATAAATAAATAAATAAAAAGACCGACTGCAGTTGATGAAAAGGGAATTCCCATAACTCCCTGCGCAAACCATCACATTTGTTTGCATTTTGTTGAAAACACTATGTAGTTCGTAGCCTACTTCTTTTTTTTTACAGTGAGTTATGTACTTTGAAGTTTTTTAGGTTTTATTTTGTTGTTGTTTAATTAACTGGTTACCCTAATGATACTTTGTGTTTAAGTTGAGAAAACGGTTTATTTATTTTGGATGAATAATGTAGGATAGACTGTATGTTTAGTGGATTTTAAGCACAGCATGTGGTTTCCATTGTACCACCTGATGGTTAGTATGTTTTACAGTAACAAAGAATTCGTAAGACTTTAAGTACCTTGATATACAATTGTTTTATAATGAAATCATGTGTTAGTGGGAACTGTAAAGTGTATAGTCACCAAACTGCCATCTGGCAATCCACTTTTTTTTAAATACGTAGGCCTAATGTTTTTGGCTCTTGCCTTTCTATGTGTAAAGAGTTCATTATTGCTCTGATTAATAATCATTTCCCTACAGTGTTTTTTTGGAAGCTGTCTGATTTGATGGAGACATGAGGGTGAGTTCTTTATTGACTCCTGGAATTAAGAAAGCCCCTAGTTAATTAGTTAACATGGTTAACAGGAAAAAGCTGAGCTTCTTCTCCTGGGGTTTACATATTTCAGATATAATCTGTAAAATGGAATAAACATTTGTTAAACAAACAAAAAACATAACATTTCATATGATTTTAGCTGAAAAAATAAATCAAGCCCTAATGGCACTTGTAATAGTTATGCTGAAGTAGCCTAATTAAAGTTAAATCTAAAACTAATTACCACAAGTTATGGATATACTTGTTTAAATAGCTTCTATATCTATGTGTGGATTTGAAGGAATGGTTTTGCATTTTAAAACATGCTTTTCAGTTCCTCCGGATCTCAAATGTAAAATATTTGCATGGCTTAACACAAGCTCGTTCATGAGACTCCTGTATTTGCATAGTGCTTTGCCATCATTGCTTCAGTTGAGCGCAGATAGGAAGGTTTTCTATCCAATAGATGTGTTAATGTTATCATATGACACATCCTCCCTTCCCCCCTCTGCTCCTGCAAAGCTGTGAACACGCATGGCTTTGCATTAATTTGTGATTGAAAACAATTCATTTACATCCTTTGATGCAATTGTGGCGTATTAAAGAGTTGTTAATGCTAAGTGATTTTAGTCTAGTCTGTTTATTAATGCGCCAAAATGTTTTCTTGATGGTGGCTATTGCATCAGTGTGTTTCAAATGTCTGTTTTCTCCTCTTCACAGAGAATAATATATAGATTTCAAAATTACATGATATGTTGAACACATCCAGACCAAGATTTTTAAACAGCGGTCCTGGGAATTTTAGGACAACAGTATAAATAAAAATAAACTAATATTTTATTCATTATTAAATATTTAAAATATGTATTATTAATAATAAATATACAATTTACTGAATTTGACGTTATTACTGTTTTCATTTTACAAAAAAAATTATTAAGATAAAACAATTATTTTTATTTATTGACTGAAAAGACAAAAAATGATGGGTTAGTTCACCCTGAATATGGACATTTTGTCATTGTTTACTTACCCTCAAGTTGTTCCAAACCTGTGTGAGTTTCTTTCTTCTGTTAAACACAAAAAATATTATTTTAAAGAATGTTGGTAATTAAATAGTGGCCGGTAGCCATTGACTTCCATAGTGTGTTTTTCTATACTATGGACGTCAATGGCTACCGTCAACTGTTTGATTACCAACATTTTTCAGAACTTCTTTGTTCTTCTTTGGAAAAATCTTCTTTGGTGTTGAACAGAAGAAACAAACTCATACAGGGCTGGAACAACTTGAGGGTGAGTAAACATTGACAGAACGTTCAGGTGAACTGCCTAAATATTTTCCAGATTATATTTTGCACATATTTACAATTTCTTTATTTTTCATAGTACAAATAGGCCTTTCTAAATGAATATTTCGTGCTCTAGATAATGCATAGGCTTATATGAGTTATGAATGTCTCAGAGTAGAAAGAAAGTAGAGTAGCCATGGCAGCTCAGTGCACGTTTGCAGTGCTCTGCGCTCTCATGGGGGCTCTGGGTAAATCATAGCTGTCATAGCAACGGAGCGATGGCACATGTAGAAACTGCAAAAGGATGATGTGGTGACTGCGCAGGGGAGGAGCCGAACGCTTGACGTCAAACTCGCCATCACCTCTGTGATGTGTGTTTATGTGTGAGGATTGATAGTGGGTTGGGAGTGAGGCTGATTTCATGCATGTTTATACAGTAAGGAGAATAGGACGTTATATTCTGGGTATTATAGCGATGATTTTTCACATGTAGTACCATCCGTACTCTTCTGACAAACAGGAAGCGGTTAAGTCTTGGGGTATGGAAAATTAGTCACAGGATTCAACACGGTCGACCTTATTATACTGGTCCCACCCAAGAGTCATGTGCTCTCTGCCTTCAAATCATTCATTAAACATACATACCCCTGCATATTCAACCCATTTAGCTATTTCCTGTCTGTACAACAGGAAGATGCTCCCTTGAGAAAGCCTTGTCAGCTCAGAGACTGTCACTTATGCCAGATTCTGGGTGGGGGTTTTTGTACCATATGAGTCGAGTGTAAAAACACAGTAAAATATGTAATCACTTGAAAGGGTTGTTCACCTAAAAACATAATTTACTCACCCTTTTGTCGTTATAAACCTGTATGTATTTCTGTTTCTGTGAAAAATGTCAATGGGGTCCAAATTGTTTGTTTTAAAATACCTTCTTTTGTGTTTCACAGGAGAAAGGAAGCGATGCAGGTTTAGGATAGCATGAAGGTGAGTAAATGATTCTGAAGAATATTCTTTTTTGTGTGAACCATCTCTTTAAAAATGTGTTGGAAAAACGAATTGTTCTGTTCATGGTTTTCAAGGATGCAAACTGTTCATGTGGCATCTTTCAAAATGGACCGGTTTAGACCGTGTGACGTGAATTTATGCCAAAATACCAAAGTTTGAAGTCAACAATAGGTGATATAAGAAGTGGATTATTTTCACATTTAAAAACTAATAAGCCTGTTTATTTTGCTATCCAACTATTTAAGATGATTTGAGTTTTATTTTCATAATTTTACAGTCAGCAGTGTTTTGTCACTAGCAGTTAGCAGTTTTGTCCCCTGGCCATACAGATAATTCTGTTATTTGATCTCAATCGTCCATAGCTGTGATTTCAGGAAAAAAAACAAAAAAAACATTCCAGCCACAGAACTGAAAAATATGCATTGTACATAGAGAATATAGAAAAGCTTTTCTTTAAAAAAAAAAACTACCTACCCTGCTTACATTTAGTTAACATTTTTAACTAATGTAATATATCCATATATACCTATACATGCCAAAGAAAAACACTAAATACCTATTTTAGGGTTATTTATTTT